CCTCAGCTTTTAAATGACATCCACGGGAGTTTCTTCACTGGGAAGTGAGAGATGCTGAGGTCCTGGGAGGGATGTGGTCTCTGGGAGCCAGCTGAGATGAAGCTCTGCAGGAACACCTGGTGTGGGGGAGAATAGTCACATGTCCCCACAGAACTAAGGAAAAGCCCTGTCTTTCACTTACTGCCCAGGGCTCTGAACCCTGCCTGCTGTGGGGTGCAGTGAGGGGTTCAGAGGTTCTGGCTGCTCTTAATCTGTGCTGTAGGGGCTGGTGCTTCTCACACCTCATTCCTCAAAGCCAGATTCCTTGGAGATGCTGTGCCTGGCACGCTGTAGCCTGCTTCCACAGACTTGGACACCCTGACCGTGCTGGGAGCCACAGTCTTCCCCAGCAGTGGAGAACTAGCCACAGCCCAATGACTCCTCTCTAAGGGTCCATGTCTGGTTTTTCTGTCTCTCCTCCCAGCTTGGCCACCCCTCAGTGCTCTGGCTGCTACGGGTCCCTGGCTGGGAACGACAGCTACATGGTGGGTCCCCATCCCAGTGGAACTGCTCCAGACACTGCTCCCTTGCTCTTTGCCGCAGGCGGCTCCGAGAGGAACAGCCACCGTAGCTCATCCCCTGTGCCACACAACTGAAGAGGCTGCGAGGTCCCTTTCTTCCCAGAAGTGGCATTCATGTATAGGATTGTAACCTGGTTTTCTCTTTCCTTCTTCCCTGAAGCATCTAACTCATCGACACAAACATTCCACTACCTGCTGCAGCTGGAGCAGGACTGAGCCTGTGGCTGCAGGCAGTAAGCGAGAGAACTGTGACTTTAAAGGTACCATGTAGCAAAGTGAAGCTGAACTCTCTCTGGAAGCTTTTTCTTGGTCTGGTCTTCAAGATGTTGGCAGCTAAATGCACCAGAGCTTCCTCACTTGGAAAAGAAAACATCAAATGCATATTTGCACTTTTATCTGCACACTTGGAAGGAACGAATCTTGCTCAGACTGTGCTTGGTCTGAGGCTGTTCTAGTTACTCTTTTAATTGCACATCCATAGCTGGGAGAGGCACTGTCTTCCTGCAAAGACGTGTTCCATGAAGTACTCTGCATCCAGACTCACTTGGGAGTGTGAAGCTCTGTCATCCCAGCGTGTTCCAGGCAGGGCCTCTATTCCCACAGGGAATGCTGAAGTGTTCTGTGCCATATTCCCACCCAGCAGGCCCGAGGCCTCTGGCTGAATGAGCTCTTGCTCTGGCCCTGGCTTCACCCCATTGCTGAACTGTCCTTCCTGGGGCTGTGGGTTCAGAGCTGAGCTCCAAGCAGGGCCTGTGAGGGGAGATGAAGTGCTCCTGGTGGTGGGAAGATCACGAGGCTGTAACCAACCCACGAGCTTATGGCCAAGGGACAGGGCTGGTGTGGATGGCAGATGCTGTTGAGTGAGAGGGGAGACTTCATAGGCTGCTGCCTCCTGGGAAAGCTGGAGCTGGCTCAGCTGGGGTGTGTGGCCCAAAGCACATGTAGAACTAGGGCTGCCTTTACTGGTGGGTGCTGAGAGCAGTCCTGCTCCCTCCTCCTCTTTACCAGCAGCAAGGCTCCCCTTTCCCCCTCCGTATTAAACTGCATTTAGCAGAGTTTGAACCTGAAGTGAATGTGAACTGGTGGGGTCCCCCCTGAGGTGCAGGAGGTGTCTGCTTGCAGAGGCCTGCTGCAGAGAGTGTTTCTTTTCAACCAAATTAGCCAAGCTTGGCCTGGCCTGTAGTTCCATTGGGCTCTTGGTGATGGGGATTGATGTTATTCCTGGCTTGTCCCTGAACCTAATGTGGAGTAAGAGGGAAACAGCTTTGGACATGGGCTGGGCAGGAGGCACTAGTCCAGGGAGGGACCTCTAGTGCCAGCCTGAACCAGAACTGCTTTTAACCCACCTAGAGCTGCTCCTGCTGGTCAAACCCAAGTCTGACACTGAAGGACCCAGCTTGGGGTGAAGGACTTACCTGTGCAGGGAGTGGTTTGGTGCTGTGGGACACTGGGCTGTGGTGCTGGGAAGACCCTGAGGCAGCCTCAGTGTCCCCAGGTGTGTGTGAGAGAAACCCCCAGCGCTGGGGCAGCCCTGGATGCTCCTCACTTGCCGTGTGCTCACTAATATGGCCTGCTTACCCCCTCACCCACCTTGCTTGTGCTGACCTAGGTGTCACTTGTCACACTGAGAACACCCTGTCCCTCTGTGGGGCTTCTCCCTGCTCACCTACTTCACTCTGGCCTCCCCCCCTGTTGCTTTCTGGAGAAGGCTCCAAGATGACAACTTCCAGCCCATCCCTCTTGCTTTAGCACTTGAACCAGAGAGCTCCACCCTGGCTCTCCTGGCTGTGGTGGCATTTGGGACCTGTCTCCTGGGCTGCAGACATGGGGTTGCTCCATTTCCATGGCTGCTTGACTTATGGCAAAGCTAAGGAAGGACCTGGACGTGGTGCGTTGCCCTTCTTTCTTCTCCCATAAGTCACCAAAGACGACAAGTGATGCTTAGTGGCCCCTGTCATTGCTTCAATTCCAAAGCACTAGGAGCACTTTAAGTTTTTCTTTGGAGGGAGAGTAGTGCAAAAAAAGAAAAAAAAAAAAAAAAAAAAAAAAAATTCAAGGGGCTACAGCTTATTGTTCATATTGGAACACTGAGAACACCCTGTCCCTCTGTGGGGCTTCTCCCTGCTCACCTACTTCACTCTGGCCTCCCCCCCTGTTGCTTTCTGGAGAAGGCTCCAAGATGACAACTTCCAGCCCATCCCTCTTGCTTTAGCACTTGAACCAGAGAGCTCCACCCTGGCTCTCCTGGCTGTGGTGGCATTTGGGACCTGTCTCCTGGGCTGCAGACATGGGGTTGCTCCATTTCCATGGCTGCTTGGCTTATGGCAAAGCTAAGGAAGGACCTGGACGTGGTGCGTTGCCCTTCTTTCTTCTCCCATAAGTCACCAAAGACGACAAGTGATGCTTAGTGGCCCCTGTCATTGCTTCAATTCCAAAGCACTAGGAGCACTTTAAGTTTTTCTTTGGAGGGAGAGTAGTGCAAAAAAAGAAAAAAAAAGAAAAAAAAAAAAGAAACTTCAAGGGCTACAGGCTCATTGTTCATATTGCACTGAAGCACACACCAACCACACGATCTTCCTGGCAGGAGGAGGGCAGGTCGAGGCAGTGAGTCTCCTTGCTGATGTACTTGGGAGTGACTGGCAAAGTGGTTTGGGTTTTATTCCTTTGGATGGATGGCTGTTAATTTCAAAACTGACCACTCCTCCCCGGGGCTGGTCCTGTGTTTTACTGAAGTAATTTATAGCTGAGAAGTACAATGACTTTTTTAATGCATAGTTGCCTTTCATTAAACTTTTCTTTTAATTTTATTTTTGGTTTTGGTCTGGTTGAACAGTGTTTTTGGCTTTGCAGTCAGGCAGCAGCTGGCTGCAACAGGAAGCTGTGGCCAATGAATGTACCTATTTGTTCTTCACTAAACTGTAACCAAGCACTACTATGTTGAAATAAAAAAAAGAATTAAAAAAAGGGAGTTTCTGTGCTAGGTTGCTGGAGGCCTGGCTGAGTTTTGTTCTTGGTGTGCCCCTGCTCTGGTTCTGCAGACCCCTTGTCATGGCCAGGGGCTTGTTGGCTTTGCAGGCACATCTGACTGTTCCACCAAGGTGTGGTAGTAACTCAGTCAAGCTGCTCCTTACCAGGCTTCAAGGGCTCAGTCTCACCTGGTAGAGCTCAGTCCTGGCCAGTGGTTGGGTGCAGAGCACCCAGAGGGGGTTTCTGAGGAGCATGTCCAGAGAAGGGCAAGGGAGCTGGGGAAGGGGCTGGAGCACAAGTGTGAGGAGGAGCAGCTGAGGGAGCTGGGGGTGTCCAGCCTGGAGACAAGGAGGTGAGGGGAGACCTGCTGGCTCTGCAGCTGCTGAGAGGAGGTTGGAGCCAGGGGGGTCGGGCTCTGCTCCCCAGGAACAAGAGGAAATGTCCTCAAGTTGTGCCAGGGGAGGTTTAGATTGGATCTTGGGAACAATTTCTTCCCCAAAGGGCTGTCAGGCCCTGGCCCAGGCTGCCCAGGGCAGGGGTGGAGGGAAATCCCTGGAGGGATTTCAAAGCCTGTAGATGTGGTGCTGAGGGACATGGGGCAGTGGTGGCCTTGGCAGGGCTGGGTTAATGCTGGGACTAGATGATCTGCCAGGTCTTTCCTAACTTAAGTGATTCTATGGAATGGGGGGGTGGGGGCTGGAAGCAAAGCAACTTTGCAGGCTGGCAACAAGGCTCCAGTTTTGGCTGCACCTCTGGTTCCCAACAGCAGGGCAGGGAGCAGAGGGCTCTGCTCACCCTGTGTTTGCCTTGGCTTCCTCGTGCACCCAGCCTCTCCTTCCCACAAGGTCCCAAACCCTTCTTGCCTCCACAGTTCCTCCTCACTGGGCAGCAGGGCAGCAGCACCATGGTTCCCACAAGGTTCTAGTCAAGATGGAGGCACAGGCTGGCCAGGAACAGCCCATTGCCACGAGAAGTTCCACCAGGAAGAGGAAGGCACCTTTGTACAGCAGCAGCTCCTAGGACAGGGGCTCCTAGAAGCCCTTGCAGTCCTTTTTTTGCAGCAGAAAGTTAGGGTAGAGACACCACAAGGAAGAGGCTGCTTGGAATCATGGAGCAGGCAAGAGATTGTCCCCAAATTTATTCAGTGTCACAGTTCCTGCCTTATCTCCAGCTTCTGGAGGCAAAAAGAATGGTGTAATCCACCAAAATAGTACAGCAATTTTGAAAGCAGTTATTCAGAATGTTCTCCCAATATAGAAAATAATCTTTAAATATAGTCCCCTCTTTTGTTTTTTAAAAAAGTAGCTTCTTTTTTTCCTTCTACAAAATATTTGTCCTCAGCAGGTTACAGACAATCAGCTGGGAACAGGATATTCCACAAGTGGTTTTTCACCAGGTAGTGGTTGGAATGAGGATGTTTGTCCATTTCTTAGAGCCCAGCAGCAAAACATTTAGTCTCTGTCTCCAGTGAATTCACTGCATCTTCCTTAAGATGTTCCTGAAGTTTTCCAGTTCCCTCACACTTGTTGAAACCCTGTGTGCAAAGAAAGCAAAAGGGAAATGTTAAAGCAACACATGGATCACAACTTGTTTAAAATTCAAGAGAAAGGGGCTGCTCTCAAGTAAAGCTTCAAGCAGCTCTTGGGAAGAGAGAATTTAGAATTGCAGCTAAATTAAGCTCAGGAGCCAACCAGGCCCTTCACTAATTGTGCAGACTCTTTTTTTAAGCAAACACTGAGCAAGTCTGTGGTGGAACAGGATGTTACAGAGCTCAGCTGTCATCAGACAAACCCATTAAAGAGAGGTCACCTGACAGCCCATAATATTACCAGCCATGCAGGCAGGTCATGGAGTCTCCTTGCAATAACAGCTTGTTTCTGTTGAAAGGTGGGGTTTTTTTGGGATCTCCTGCCTTGGTTTTCCTGCTGTGCATCAGTGAGGGTGCCAGGTGGGACTCTTGAGGACCTGGGAAGGAGAGGTTGGCTCTTCCCAGCCAGGACAAACTTCTCTTTCTAGAAGGTTCTGATTGACCCAAATCACTTGTGCAAGAGACAGATGTTTGTTTCAAAAGGCCCTTCTAATCCACAGCAGGGGACTTCCAGGGTAGAGTTTCAGCTGGGCAGCAGAGGGGGAAGGGGAAGACAAAGGCTCCCTGCCTGTCAGCCCTGGGCTTCCTCTGGACATGGACGTTCCGAGGGTCCCCATGTCTCTGTCACGCTCCTCCCATGGGCTGTGCTGCCAGGCAGAAGGAAGCCCAGCTCCTCTGGTGGAAGGGGAATAGAGCAGCTGAGCTCAGGAGGAGAAGGACAGATTCCTTCTGGTTGGAAAAGATCTTGAAGATCATCAAGTCTAACTATGAACATCACTCTACCACATCCAGTGCTGGGAACACCAGAGCATCCCCAAGAAAGAGCATGGAGCTCTGAGATGGAGCTGTTGGAGAGAGTCCAGAGGAGGGCACGGAGATGATGGGAGGGCTGGAGCAGCTCTGCTCTGGAGCCAGGCTGGGAGAGTTGGGGTGTTCAGCCTGGAGAAGAGGAGGCTCCAGGGAGACCTTAGAGCACCTTCCAGTGCCTGAAGGGGCTCCAGGAAAGCTGGGGAGGGGCTTGGGACAAGGGCAGGGAGGGATGGGATGAGGGGGAATGGATCAAAACCGGAAGAGGGGAGATTTAGGTGAGACATTAGGAGGAAATTCTTTGCTGTGAGGGTGGTGAGACCCTGGCCCAGGTTGCCCAGAGAAGCTGTGGCTGCCCCATCCCTGGCAGTGGACAAGGTGCTCAGAGGACAGTCACACAGCTTCTTGAAAATTACCAAAATCTTGGTATCTTTAACACAAATGCTTCCCTGAATCCCTTACAGACATGGAGAGCAGATAAAGAAGTTGTTTTAAATTGTTTCAACTGCTGCACTGCACGTGGACACCACGTGACATTTGAAATCCTCTTCCAGTGTGGTCAGAGCAGCAGTGAACACATTGCTGATGGGAACTGACTGCTTAAGCTTAAACAGGATGTACACAGCAGCTTGTGTAAAAGCCGAGGGAAAAAGTCTCAAACTAACCTTCCAAAAGCATTAAATAAGGCAACGATTTCTTGTCTGGTCAGCTGGAATCCATAGGAAGGGCCACTTTCAGGTATCTTTTCTATCAGGCTCTCAGAAAAGAGGATCTTCAGTGCCGTGCCCAAGCCCTGTGTCTGTGCACAACAAACAAAAGCATTTCAGAGTGGGGAGACATCCAAGGCCTGACTCCCAAGTTGAAATGTCATTTCCCTCCTTCATCTTTGCAAGGATCCCTGCTGACATCATCTGAGCAGAGGGAGGCTTGGATTTCACTGAGCACAGCTCAGAGAAGCCAGGAGGTTTTATTTATTTAGTGTGTCAGTGAGAGCAGAGCTACCCAGCAGAGGTTTCCTGTCTAGGTTTCACCATGTGTGACATTCAGTGCAGATCCTGCTTTACCCCTAGTTTTATAAGCACCAGAGGCTCTGCACTCCCTCCCCCCCTCTTGGGGAGCAGCTGTACCAGTGAACGCAGTTTCCAGCTGCAGAGGCAATGGGCAGCCAGGCCCAGTCAGCTGGAATCAGCCCAGTGCTTCCTGCTG